TTCCTACGGAAATGGCAATAAAACACTGTGAAGTAGGTTCTCTACTACTTTTTATTGACGCAACAGGGCTTAAAGACCTACTCTAAACCCAGAAGGAAGCGCACATCCCCTAACAATATATATATACATATATATATTGCTTTAATAAAATGTAAAAAAATGTGCATTCAGTGCATGTCAACACAAGGAAATTTTCAAGATTTTCTTACGTTTTGCGCATTTATAAAAAATAAATATAATAAATACATTAATTTTTAATTGGGCCTCCTGAATCCGGGAGCCCGAAAGCATTGCTTTCATGTAGTTACGCCACTGAGGTACACTGTGTCTTTGGTGAAGTGATCAAGTTGAGGATGCACTAACTGAACTCGATGTACGAGACTGGAATATGCACATACATAGCAGAGGCGCCTGAAGAGACATGCTGCATCAGACCTAAAACTGCTAACAGGTTGTTGTGGCCAATTAAATTAATAGGTATGTGTTTATTATATTTATTTAATATATAGATGGTTAAATTTAACACAACTACAGATTTATTTAATAAACCAACATCCACTGACGACAAATTCTCTACACAGCATTCTATCCGAAATGTCAAATTGCAAATATCAAAGTAAACTGCATCCATCATTTTCTATGGGATCTACTAGGTGTTTTGAATTCTTTATGAAAAAGTTATAAAACATTTTTTTTTATTATACTAAAATATGAAGGCTATCATGATTCGTCAAGTTTCAAGCTTGATTTATTTTTACCATTATAAAGTAGTGACTATATTAGTTCCATTTCAATCAATAGATAAATCAAAGATTTTTGAAGAAATATCGAGTACAGAAAATAAGTTTGTTATTTTCTTTAATATATATAATATGTCATTTTATACATTGAAGATTTTAATGATTTGAGTAGTAAATAATAATAATTTATTTAACTAATTTTAATAAAAATTTCAAACAATATTAATAAAAACTTTACTGCTAAAAGACATTAGCGCTGAAATAAATTACTTTATATGAGTAATTATATGATTTATGAATCCCGCAATCGAAAGTAACTACTTTCCTATTTTGTTAACCTATATCCACGTTTTAACTCTAAAATTATTCACTAAAGTTGATACGCTACTTAACCCTTCCCTAACAATCCTCAAGTCCACTTCTGGACTCTCAGAAAGATATGCTGATTTAAGGTCCGTCATCAATTATATGACAAATAAATGATATGATTTTTTAGCCTAGTTAAAGCCATTATAGAGTAAAGGTGCGTAATAGCAGTAACTCAAGAAAAATCAAGATGAAAATGATGAAGAGTACAACAATTAATGCCGAGCTAGCATTCCTATTTGTTGTTGGATTCTTTAATAATATCATTAAAAACGTAGACATTCAATTGTCAAAGACTTTTTAAAACCAATTATCAAAAAAATACTCCAGAAAACTGTGTATCTAGGTATATTTTTGAGTTACAGAATAAATATGTATATAAATCTAGGTTTTATAGTTTAAAAAACTTAAGCAAATAATTCTTTTTTTATTATATACCGCTGTTGATATTTATAAATATAATTTTTCTGTTAATCACATCTTCGAGACATACCAAAGTACAACATGTATTCAAAGTTATCACTTGAAAAAGACACCTCCACAATTTTTTGCATAAGTTGATAGTACTATACTGTATTCGTATTCAAAATTTAAGCGTAATCACAAAACTAACGAGATAACAATGGACTGTTTTTGTAATTATACTTTTGAGTGTTCTGCAATGGCATCATTGTGCAAAAGCTTTTTACACAAAACTCCACGGTTGTATCCAGCACAGTACTTAGCTAAAATGTCTTGTGCCTCCCTTAGCTAAACTTGCCACTTCCAGGAAAGTGTTTCGAGTCAATTGCGGTCAAACAAAAAATTCTACATATATAGAATGGAATGGCACAGAGTGAGACCCACTTTGGAGGCGACAAAATACATTTTGAATAGTTTATGATTTTTAGTTTTTCATTTATTACATACTGATTTCTTTTGCATTGAATTAGATTATCCTAACTTCATTGAATCGCTGAAAAATTTTTTATATATATATATTTTCTACTTTGATTTTAAATGGCGAACCTAGAAACTACCGAATATATTCACTTTCATGTCATCATATTTATATATGATTTCCTTAAATCATTTATGGTGAACGCGAAATGAAAGAAGGAGTGAGCTTTTCCTTTTAATTTGATTAATCTTTAATAATAATTTTAATTACAAGGCCTTTGATGTATTGTGTAATTATTAACAAAACATACAACTGAGATTTAAAATATTTTGTGTAATTAATTATCGTTCAAATTACACAACAAAAGACTCATATGCTTTTCAAGTTTGTTACCTAAAGGCAGATTTTCGTAACTAAAAATTTTGTTTAATTTCCTTATTGTGTATCTTTTAAGTTAAACTAGTGCAACGATAATTTAAAAATTTGTTATTATTATATTTTCAATTTTGAATTCTTATTATTTTGTTTTAATGAAGTTAATTTGAATACTTTTCGAAAGTTTGTGAAGTTTTCTGCTTTTGCTACATAAACTTCAGTCGAAAGTATGCGAAAATTGTTGAACTTTCCTTAAAGTAAGGAACTATTTTATGCAAGAAAACTGTTGAACCTTAATAGTTTTATGGTCGGCTAGAAATTGTTTCACTTAAAAGGCACATGCCGAGGTCCTTAACATTCTTTTAATAACAATTAGCGCACCAAAAATATGCATGTAACAATCTGAAGTATCACAAATGAAAACGACACAACTTCGAAAATCAAATGAAATCACAAAGATATTAAATTAATAATTTTCTAAAATATAAAAATATTAGGTATATATACTTAAATATAGCATCGAACTAAGAAAGTTTTTAAAATCTTAATAGATTAACCATTTATAATCTATCAACAGTGTAGTTCAGTTTTTCATCAAATCAGATAATGAAATGCATATGAAGAAAACAATTCATTTCAGCTATATAACTTCATAAACACGGTAACAGTTTTATACTTCTCTGACTTTTTGAACTTTCCCACTAACTTTTAATACAACATTGCTCCTGTCAAGTATTCAAGACGTAAGTGTCCTGGACCGCTTGCTTGCTGTCACCAGTTGAAAGTAACAAGCGTCCCCAAATTTTTGTTCACCTAGCCCTTCCACCAAAGATGCGAACGTTCCACCAAAGATCCTCTAGACGTTTTCCACCTGCGGGAACCGAACACCTTTCTAGCGCCAAGGTATATTCTTCCATTCGCAAAATCTTTCACAAGTTCGTTCTTATAATTGTCGACAGGGATGTGGGCTCCAAGATTCTTAGGTGATTGGTTTGTTGACAGAAAGTACTTGGTTTTCTAAATTGGAAAATGGTGTTCTGACGGCGACGGCGCTGGTGTTCAGACCAATGATAACAATATCATCGGTATATGCAAACAGAATTACACTTTTGCACAATACTGCGCCAGTGCGGTTTAAATCTGTTGTCCGGATTATCGTTTCCAACATTAGATTAAAGTACTCACACGACAAGGAGTCAACATGTCTGAAACCCCGTTTGCTATCAAACGGTTCGGAGAGGTACTTTCCGATACTAATGGAGCTGATCGTTTTTCATAGCCGTAAAAATTTAGCTGGAATACCAAATTCAGACATAGCGGCATGAAGAGTGCTTCTAGTCGTAGTGTTAAAAGCAGCTTTGAAGTCGACAAAAAGGTGATGTGCGAATCTTCTTGTTTTTCTTGGATCTTCTCCAGGATTTGACACACTGTGAATGTCTGATCTAGGGTGGATTTGCCATGTTTGAAGCCACACTGATAAGGTCCAAGCAGTTGGTTGACGATTGGCTTCAATCTTTCACATAGAATGTTTGACGGAATCTCTTTTATGGGATATTTAAATGACTGCTCTCGCGATAGTTGGAGCAGTTTGGAGGATTGCCTTTTTTGTGGATTGCGCAAACAACACTCAAATTCCAGTCGTTTAACAGGCATTCATCCGACCATATGTTGCGAATTAGCTGTAGCATGCAGCCACCAGCTTTAAACAGCTCAGCTGATAAGTCATCGGTTCCTGCAGCTTTGTTGTTTTTGAGCTGCATTCTAACTGTTTTAACTTCATTATGTTTATGAGAGGTGAGACGATTATTTTATTGTCAATAATTGCAAATTCAAGATCATATTTGATTTCATAGTTACTACCGCCGTTTAGTTGGATTCGAGAAGTGATCCCTCCAAATGTTAAACATGCTTTGGACATCTACCACCAATTTATCATTTGGATCTTTGAAGAAATCAACTACGGATTTATAACTGCATGTCAGGTTTTTGATTTTTTAGTAGAATTTTCGAGCCATATTCCAGTCGTCAAACTTTTTAAGCACTTCGTACTCGTCTTTCTGCTTTTTTTTTTTTGCCTGAAACAACGTTTCTTATCCCTTCTCTTTTGCTGATATCGTTCTTTAGCATTTTACTTGGTTAATGCTAGCACGATCCTTGTTACTGGAGGTTGGCACACAACCTATACGCGACACGCTATACATGAGGTTATACGTCGGGCTTGGAACCCACCACCTAAAAACATCTTGGAACAAGAGCGTATACATCATGTGCTAACAACCGCTTGAACTAACTAATCAACAGTTTTACTCAAAGCAATACTGCAATAAACTATTGATTAAAATAGAATATATAAATTAACTACAAATATCTTCTTAAAAAAAATAAATTTAAATACATCTTAGGTTGCAATTTGTATTTCCATAGAATTTTATAAGAGTAAGCAAGATTTTCACTGCAACTAGCTGACATGCTTGCGAAAGCATAAATTGTAAAGGCAGTCGCAACAAGGATATACTTTTTTACAAGGATCAATATAATATAATCATATAGAAACTTCTAACTATCGCTTTGAAATATAAATAACTAGTATCAGTTGAGATTTGTTTATTGTATATAATTTCGGTTGAGTTGACTGTAATATTGTAAAATTTAAAAACAATTTAATCGGTTTATAATAATTTTTTGTACTAACTTGACAATATAGCACATACAGATAATCATCAGTGATAAATTCTAAGAAGGTTCTTCATCATTGAAGGTGCCAAAATGCCTTTCGTTATGTATTTCATTATTCCGGTGTGGGTTCAATGAATCCATGAAGGTTTGATAATCATAAATCTTAGCATAAATCACAATGCTAGTAGACTTCATGTTGATTTAAAATCAATAACATTATAGTACCTTCAACCGTAAAGGTGCAAAATCCATTTGTTTATTTTCTATAACTCACGTCTGACAGCTGGTTCTTGGTATTTATCATGGTATTATGAAAACGATAATCAATGAAAAAATTATAATATTGCGCTATTCTTGATCTAGCATGTTCATACTCAATAGTTGATTACTTTAACGCGACGATATGCTCATTATCATTATCAGCTTAATATTTTTAAAGTTGATATCACTTTTAATACCATGAACGTGGCAATAGATGCGTTATTTTGAGACTTAACTGGTCTAGCTTCTAGCTTAGAAGATGCTACAATCGAATTTTTGATATAAATGTGATATGTTGATGATTAAATTGTTCATCATTAGATTTCTTTTATTCTCTCTTGATACCTCGCACCTCATATACAGCATAGTATTGCTGATACCGTGGTTGGTGATGTAGTTCTTTTTCCAGCACAGTCCGTGATTTAGTAATCTCTAATTATTTCATTGTGCCAATAATGTATTCATCAAGCTTAAACTTCTATGCATATAGCCAATCACTTACGGAACTAAAATTGTCAAAAAGTTATTATTGATTCAAATATATTTTATATAATTAATTAGACTTAATTATACTTCAATTCTTCTCTATTGCTACTACATAGAAAATATGTAACATATCGCTTTTGGAAGTGCAGTTTTTAAAATGAAAACAAGAAAAAAAAGGAAGCTTCAGCCACGTTGAGATTTTCATCACTCTTGATAACCAGCGTTTTTACATGTATGTGTAGTGTAGGAAACGCTACAATACCATTAATCGAATAATTAAATGGATTTGATTAGTTCAATACATGTAGTGTGTGTCTTTCAGGAGGATCTCTAGGATAGTGCAATAGCTGAGGGATAGGATGTGTGGACGCATCTCATCTAAACTCTTAAATAGGCGATCTAAGAATGGCCGGACGCCTCGTTCGCATAAATGTCGAAAAGGATTCTGCCATCAACATTGGATGCTCTGTTGTAATGTACCATTACACCTGTAAATTTATTGATTCAAGTTCTCACAACAATAGCTTCAATCATTACCCACCTTGTGATATCAAGTCTATGAAGTTCCTTAAATATGTTTGCTCCAATATTGTGCAGAATATCAATTGATTCTTTTGGAATTATTTCTCTAATACATAAAAGTATATTAATTTATTTAATGTATATTTTTTTTTTATTATATTTGATTTTTAAAGTCAGTTTTAAATAAAGAAACCATGTTTCTTTATAGAAACTATTGTTTTAATAGAAAGTTATTTTGAACAATAATGAAGTATACCAACAAAATTTTTATTATTTATTAATTAATTGAATTATTGACTGAACAAACAGCTATTTCGAGTATTGTCAAATACCCATTATTCATAGTCTTTTGGAAATATCGTTTGTATTTAAATATTCATAAAGAATTTTTTGAGACTACAAGTACCAAGGGTTAAACTCGTGCCCTGCCATATTTAAAATTCAGGGTCAGCGAACTGATAAAAAAATTGACTTATATGTTCTAACTTGGGGTTTTGTTAATTTGCCGTGAAGGTTCATTAACAAATTCACTTGCTATGTTATATTACAACGAAATCATAAACCATCTATTGCCTAATGGAATTAATTAATCATATTTATTTTATACTATAATGATATACTATACTATAGAACTATAATACTATAGTTATAATAATATGTATAAGTTAAAATATTAAACTTTAATTTTTAATCATTATTGGAGACAACTTTAAAAATTAATTAAAGTACTAAAAATTGCTTGATTAAATTATTATTTACTTAATTATTTTAAAAATAATAATTAAAAGCTTTTACTTCTTCATATATTATTGGGAATGACCACCCATCCTCGCTTGTTAGAAAAAATAATTATCTCCATTGGAACTTCCCAAAAAATACAACATATTAAAATAAGAGGCTTTAAAATGAAGACAGTCACAGCAAAATATTAGAATAATACTTGCTGATTTATTGCTGCCCAATACAGTTAATGCACCAATGGATACTAGCTTTTATGTAGGCATATCGGGGAGCTCTACCTAATGACTGCTCTTCCACCTGTGTAAATTGAGGACATATAAAAATGAGTGAAGTTCATTCAATTCATTTACTTTGTCACTGCTTGAAAATTGCTAATAAGCTGTGATACTCTTTGGATTTTTTTTTTAAAGTAATGATTCATTATATTCAATACAACCATTAGAAATATGACTTGATTTATCAGAATAAACCAAATAAATAAATTGATTTCCTGGTTCGAAATGACACGACTTTATATAAATTAGTGAACTTCGTTATAATATCATTATAAACCAGGCACATATCCTTTGTAGTTCAATATATGTTATGTATATATTAAATATAGATAAATATTGTATCTTGGCTAACCTATTTAGGAATTGTAGCATTACATTTTTAAATTATTATTAGCTCTTTGCCCTGCAGCACCCTTTTGCTAGCGTATATAAGCATCTAAAGTTCTATACTAAATGAATAATAATTGTAGTCTGTAGGTAACGCAATGTGTTTAAAAAGGATGGATAATATTTGTATTAACAAAACTCTATTTCAAAATAAAAATAAATATTTTCAGTTTTAATAAAAATACCGAAAACATTTTGCCAAGTTTAATATTCAATTTTCCAATTTTTTCAGTAAAATTTCAAACTCCTTGAAACTTAAAATATTGTTATCCACTTCAGGCCCTTAAATTTTTCTACACACTGATATATATGTTACATAGATTGGTGCTGGTATAAAATCAAAATTTCAATGACATGATACAAAAACTTTACAGGAATATTAACAGTTTATAAACCTCAAATGTGCTATAGGAAATCCTTTTTAATTTGGGACATGTCCTTGGAAGGGAATACTGAAACGAAACCAAAAACAACAGAAAACAATCCCCTCAAAGAATGCAGCCAAGCAACACTGATTTTAATGAAAAAAATTTGATTAACAAGGACATGTCAGCATAAATGACCCACATTTATTTCGTATGTGAGTGGCAACCAGGTGTGTAATCGTCGAATTATACGTTTGATGTTCCTTAGAAAAGAACACACGTTTTCTAAAAATTTAAAAATAAAAATTTATTAATTTTAAATTATAACAACTTTTTTATTCCTAAAGAATTCCTAATTTCCTAAAGAAAGTTAAAAAAAACTTCATGTTATTTTTATAACCAGTTTCTACTGATTTCAACGTGCAACTTATTTTTGGATTATTATTGTCAGACTGACGGAGTACTCTAAGAATTGAAAATATATATCTGAATATATTTTCTTCAGGAAAGCAACCAACTTTACTAAGCCTTTTTTAATTCATTCGATATAAGAAGTCTACCTGGGTGTGATTTTAATTTGACCATCAATGCTAGATTAGCTCTTAGCATATGTTTTCTGCTGGTAACACCACAAGCATGGCGATTGAGTGCAACCCAGTGGGTAGCAGAAGAAGGAGCAGACCTGCTCTTACCTGGAAAAGACAAACCGACACGGAAATGTCACACATGCGGAAAGGCTGGGGAGAGTTGAAGCTATTGGCCACCAATCGTACCGAGTGGAAGTTATTTGTTCAGACGCTATGCTCCTCCTAGGAGTTAAAGGATAAATATATATATGTTTTCTAATATAATTTTCCTCATAAAATCTACCAACCTGCAGTGTTCTAATCAGTATTACTGTAAATAATTGTAAATTGTATTTATTTAACTGCTTAGAATCCTTCAGTCAATTTTGGTGGAATATCGATTTCTTTCAATACCCTGATCTTCATAATCGATATTTATTAATACAGCTTGGGTAGATTATACCAGTATTGGTCTCTCTATTTGTCTTATTGAAAATTTAGAATATTTAAGAACGTTTTTAGTGTCTAAATTTAATTTCGCATATTAGTTTTTTATAAAATAAACATTAATTTTCATTGGTCAAGCAAGAAGCAGTTGAATGTAATCGAAAATTCTTGTAGAATATTTCAAACTATTATAACCTTTGGGAATTCTTCAAAGGCAATAAAAAATGAAAAGTTTTGAAAAGACAAAAAAAAAAATTTAAATGTTAAGTTTTTTCTTGCCGATTATGACGAAAAGAAACTATTAAAATTAGACGGATTCGAATAACAAGAAAGAAAAGGACAAATATTTATTTTAATTTAAAAAAATTTTAATTTTAAAGTTATATATAACGATTACAAACTGTTCTGGAAAATCAATTTTTTCTTTGGGCGAACCGTATAGATTTTATTAAAGTAGCGAATGATACTTCAGTAACGACAAGTACACAGGACATTCAGTAACTTTGTTCTATACTACATCACTTTTTCCAGCTGTCGCAGGTAATGACAGACCACCAAAAAGTTGAGCTACACCAACGGTAATCGCTAATATTGGAATCCCACCCATCTTCTTTAGCATAGTTACATCGGAAGGTAATTTTCCATTAAAGTGTATAATAACACACTTACTTTTACTTAATCCGAATCTGCTTTTGTTATAAGTTTTTGGCACTATAGCTGACTATAGCGACCCATGAAATAACTATTTATTGTAAGTTATGTACCGATTTCACCAGTCAATAAAATTTTATGTACCGCTTTTCGATGAATTATTACGTTGGATTATCGTACTGGAATACGGTAAGAAGACTTAACATTATATTAATGGCACGAAACTAGATCTAAAAAAAGTTCAGAAGATGCAAATCTGTAGTCCTGCCTATTCAAAAAAAGTATTACCAGTTAAAGATATATATACAAACTAAAGATTTTAACAAAAGAAATAAGTATTGTATGGGATTCGGTCTAGGTTTCGTGTTATTGATTTGTAATGTAAGAAAAGACGTACTGTTATAAGAAATGATTATATATTTGTCATAAACATTAAACCTCTTAGGTGAAAATTTTAGTTCTTAAAACATCAAAAACCCATTTCATTTTAATAATAATGTTAATTTTTGAGCTAACGTTTAGTAATACCTATATTAAAAAAAGTTGTAATTTCAAGAAATGATTTCGGTGTTAATCCGCTTCAACCCATTAATGACCACAAAAAAAACTTTACAGTCGAACCTTATTATAATGTCGACATGGACATTAGTGATGTATAAGTTGTACTTTTCAAAAAATAATATCGACCGAAAGAATATTTGATTTCTTTAACAGCAATACTTTTCGGGTTACTTGCAAAATACCAAACCTTGTCTTTTAATTTTCCAAAAGCATTGCGCCACCTCTAAATTTGATTTAATCACAAAAATTGAAAAGTGTATTTATTTCCATACTTAAAAAAAGTTTTGAAAAGTTTATCATAAGAAAACTCAATTTTCAAAAAAGGAGAGGCACCCGAATATGTAGATACACTGATCTTCTGACAACCACTTGTAGGTTTTCACTACCCGAGATGTGAGAATTTTGATTGTCGACCTATTCCTAAGTAAAAACTAAGCCTTAACATTAAAGAAAGTAACATTACATTTTTATATATGACTTTTAACAACTTTAACATGTTCAGCGGTTGTAAAGCGAAGCACATTGTTAAATGGTGCAACTTGAAATGAACATATAATGTCTTGAATGATATCTTTTTATGATATTTGTTACTGATGCAGTCCTACCAAATCAAGTCTACAAAATAAAAAAAGCTTTTATATCATTATTAGAAACTTCCTATGATGTTCAGCGTGTAACACAAATATAGAAAAAAATCTAGAGAGTATAAAATAAAAGTCTCTGACAAGCTACATGCGGTGGTATGTAGTATGTCAAAACCAGAAAACCTGCACAAAGATCTAAATCTAACAACTATTAAAGAAGTTATTCGATAATATACACCTAAATTCGACATTTCGACATAATTGATAAATATGAATCGACTAGTTTAGTAACATACATGTTAGATTCGATTTTTAGGATTCCTAAAATTACTGTCAATTTCTGTTGAAAAAGATTAAATAAACTAATGAAAAAAAAAATTAAGAAAGTTCTTATAAAAATAATTATTTTAAAAATAATTATTTCACGGGCTAATTGGTCAGTTATTAAATAAATTTCATTATTTAGTTTTATAAAATTTTTATTGTCCAATATTTCGACTATAATCTATAGTCATCATCGGGGAACTATACATATAAATACATTGTAATTAATATTAAGGTATACATTACATAGAAACAATAATAAATTACATTTACATTGAAACATGAAACAAACATATGTATTTGGAAAATATACAATACTTTGACTATAAAAATCATAAAAATAACATATATATAAGAAAAATATATTTATCCTCTTCCGGATTTGTCGAAGGTGTCGAAGGTGAAAGTTCTTATATATAATAGATTTTTAAAAAAAATACATTATCTGTGGTAAAAATAATTTAAGGTAAAAATAATTTTATTGCATTTATGAGACATTTCAAATGATGCTAAAAATATCAAGCCCTGCTCTAAGAACAAGTAGTTGTCATTTAAGTATATCTTTTCCATATTCCGTTTCTAAGAAGAACAAATGCATGTGGTTGGAATAAATATTTTTATAAAATGAAATAATTTATTCTGATGATATTTAAAAGAACACCATCTGCACATTTACCCAATATGCGTTTGTGATAAAATATCTCTGCTTAATTTAGTGCTGTAATAATGCACCGCATGAGGTCTCCATATTACAGTATATTTTACACTTAAACTTCGTGTTGGGAATGAAACACAAAACAATTAATAAATAAGTCAAATATGTAGTTATCCTGAGAGTGCAAATCCCATTTAATAAAAACATACAACAGTGCGGAAACTACATCAGCAATAAAAAATGGTGTAAAATAAAATTGTAGCAAAATACGCTGAATTGGCGAATATTATAATTTTTTCTTTCTCGTTTTAGTTAAATGAAAATTCATGTAGTTTTCAATTTTCCGTTGTCCTCTCCATCAATTTCGGCAATATGTGGAAAAGATGAGTAAGGCCATTCGATGCCTATTTGTGTGTTGAAAAAATTGGCTGCAAGCCGAAAAAATCTACTTTAGATGAAATTGAACAACATTACACACGTACCTGCCACATACCACCTGCATATGACAGCTGTCATATTTGATAAAGCAAAGGCCGGGCGTTACACGTTCTCACTTCGGCATCATGCTACAATGTTGCAGTGCTGCAGTGCTGCAGTGCTCGACCCAAGTTTTCTACCGTACTGTCCATTCAGGAAAAAAACTGGCGAGTGTAGCTAACAAAAATGAATGGACTTTGTATTGGTTTTACTTAACTAATTTCCAGACGTGTTAAAAATTAGCAACATTTCTACTTTGTTCTCTTGCTGAGCGTATAATGGTAGGAAGTGTATTAAACGTCCGTAAATAGCATATATGGCTGGTTCATTTAGCCGGCTCAACTGTTTCGGCATGGATGTACGCTACGCTACGTTCCTGTTATTTATACGATTTTTTATGCTTCCCATTGAAGTTGATTCGGTTTCGGCTGAAACGGTTCATAAAAAAGCGACAACCAAAATAAATTTTAATTTATTGAAATTGAATTTTTTTGTAGCTGAAGTTGTGGCTTTATAAAAATATTTATATGCCAAGCCATATTTATTGCTTAAGAATTGCAATTCAGCTTAATTGTAGCAGATGTGCGTACTATATGCATCGAAGTTTGTACCTATATAGTAAATTCCATATAGGTATTTATGGAAGGTAGAAAATTTATGTGACTTTGAATGCAACATTAAAAAATCACATTTCGTATTTTACCCTTCATATTTCAAAAAATAATAAGCTAAATAAATTTATAGCATTTTATTTATTTATTTTTTTTTTCTTTTTCGGTTTACTAAAAAGCATTTCCAAATCAAATTTACATTATTCATCTCTCTGGAAATGCTTTAGTTCAAGTATTCGGCGTTTTTCTGTTCACTTGACATTGAAATGCAATCATATTAACATAACTAACTGCATTTGGAAGTCTTTTAACTTTTTGATATAAAATCGATTAATATCTAATCTAAACCATTAAGAGTAGTAAATAATGTCAAAGCTTATAGCAAAGCAAACTTAAGTGAAATTTCGAACAATAAAAATTAGCTGCTTATTAAAGTTTTATTAGGCCGAGACTACATACAATGAAGGTGTGTGAAAATGTTAAAGGTTAATGCAGTAAAACAACGATGGAGTAAAAATCTGACTTTCATTCACAACATTCTCTCACCATAAATAACACACAGAGTGGTTATTAAACTACAACTGTTTCACCTAAAATATAGCCTTAAGTGTCACTTTTCAAATACTTGTTCGTTTGACATAATCCGATTAGTATTGCCAGATAAATGGGTACCAACACCATCTACTGACAAAAAAAGCTAATACTTTTATCTAACCTAATATTAAAAAATAGAATAAAGTAGCAAATGGTGATCAACTAGTGACCCAAAACTAGCGTAAAAAGTCTAACGAAGCCCATGTCACCAAGTCTAATACAGTTTATTGAGGACACCAAGCTCCAAGTAAAAAACACTACATCGACTTCGATAATTACATTTGTTCTAAGAAGTTTGAGATTCTTCCGAAGGAACCTAAAGAAAATTTTGTTGCTATAGTACATGAACCTACCATGACCATTATTCTTATTATATTTAGTTCTGTATTAATTGACTTGTTTTATTTTGAAATAAATGCAATAAATTAATTTCCCAAATAACTTGACAGTAAAGCAACAAATTCAGATTATGTGGATGACTACATGTTCTATTTTTCGGAAGACATACAAATTTGGCAGGATACAAGTTCAGTCCAATAAGTAAATACAACAAATCATTCCAAAAAGATCACTAATAATATATATTTGGCAATGGTCGAAACAGCTGTGTGGTCAGCAATTCACTACTGTTCGAAACTTCTTTATTAAATACAATAGTGTCTATTAAGTAAAATAATTATTGCCGTCATAATTAAGATTAAAATCAAATTCAGTGAACATAATAATTATAATACAAAACACACTTGTTGGAGTTGGCTGTAACAATTATATGTCCCACTCATCTCACTGATTAATTTGTCTATTTCTCATAAGCTTCGTAATTATTCAATAAATGGCTACGGGGGAACCAAAACAACACATTAGTCAAATTCCTTTTTAATAATTGACTAACAATGAGTGGACAAATTCAGTAAGAGATCACACAACTGCTTCCATATACAAAGTTTAGAAGTTTTGAAAAAAAAATCGATCAATTGCTAATTTCCCAATTTGCTAAAGCAGAACTTAGAAAAATATCTCCAGTTCATAACCTAAACAAAACGGATAGCTATGATTTATTAAATGAAAAAATTTTACATAGGATCCCCATATATGTTTACTTTAAGTATTTCCTTCATTGCAAAGAAGTGAATACTGAATATCCTATATAGGTGACATGAAATTGGTTTCAAGTAACTAACATATCTGTTTCCTTGAATGAAGAGAATTGACTATATTTCGCTACAGTGAAAGGCAAAAATCCTTATTCTTACAGAAAAGAAAAGAAAAGAAAAGAAAAGAAAAGAAAAGAAAAGAAAAGAAAATAAAAGAAAAGAAAAGAAAAGAAAAGAAAAGAAAAGAAAAGAAAAGAAAAGAAAAGAAAAGAAAAGAAAAGAAAAGAAAAGAAGAGAAAAGAAAAGAAAAGAAAAGAAAAGAAAAGAAAAGAAAAGAAAAGAAAAGAAAAGAAAAGAAAAGAAAAGAAAAGAAAAGAAAAGAAAAGAAAAGAAAAGAAAAGAAAAGAAAAGAAAAGAAAAGAAAAGAAAAGAAAAGAAAAAAAAGAAGTGATTACGGAAAATCCAATATAGGTTTCATGTATATGATTTTAAGTATCTAACATATCTCTTTCCTTAAATGAAAAGTGACTACTTTTCAGTACAGTGAAAGGCAACAGTCTACTTTTACAGCAAAACTAGTTATAAATAAAGTATGAGTTTATGTATCTCTTGATATGTAAACCAATAGCTGCTAATAATGGTTGCTATCGAACCATGGAATGATCGAATGAATCAACAATGCTTGTGGGGCTTTGAACTATACCTATTATGATGAACTGATATAAGTATACATTTAATTAAAATGTTTTTGGCTTATCTATCTTACATTATATTGAAGCTATAACAACCATTCAACGACCACAACTCATGCCGGTGTTTTAAACGATACTTCCCTCCATTCTAAACAATATCTTTCTAAACATATATTCTGTTATATTTAGGAATATATTTGTTACATTATTTCTTATTGAAACAGTGACTACAACAAGCTTAAATAGGCGTCTCTTCATGTTCTGGACTTAAGTCTTTTTCAAAAACTAAATGTTTACTTGGGTCTAACTCACAATTTGCTCTTGATTTACAAAATTGTGATTCTACCAATATGGGCGTACTTTTACCACCTATGAGGAGATACATCAATGAGAAACGTGGAAATAATTTACGGGTTCCGAACGAAATAATTACGTGTAAGAATAAATGATATAATCTAAATACTCTTATAATAGATGATGTGAAGTTTTTTTAATTATATTGCTTGTTGCAATTGTAAATTATTAATTAAATTAATTTTAATTATTAATTAATTATTAATTAATAATTAATTATATTGTTAAATTAATTATTAATTTAAAAGGAATTAAGAATTTCAATTTCATTTCTAAGAGATATATATTTCTTACCTTTCCAAAAGCATTACAGCAAACAATAGTATGACCAATCCTTGTTTAAGTCCAAAGATATATATTTGAATTGATTTTCATTCCACTTTGTGAAGATATTCATGTATATTCATAGTAAAAGGTAGTTATATTTAGTATGTGCTGTTGAAAATGGAACTGAAAACGTGTGGAAATTGAAATCATCTTCGATATTTTCAGGATAGCTTTCTTCGAAACAACTTTATCTTAGTTCAAGCCATAAAAACAGTACAAAAGTCGAACTTGTGGAGAATCGAAATGTTATGCACTTGACCAAAGTAAATGTTGGGTACTTACTGATGTAATGAATAGCTCTTAGGAAGAAGTAGTGGCAAGGAATAAACTATAATCGGAACTACATAGTCAGCAGTTGTATATTATTATTGGATATCTACTGTAATCTTCCTGAAAAATTAACTATGGTTGTTGAGATGTTCCAGCTTTATCACAGTCTTCACTTTATTCGTGTAATTTCCATGACATTATGTTGCTAATCGTTTTGCCTTAATATAGTTTCAAGTTTTATGTTCAATGTTGAATGCAAAATAAATATTTCTAATTATTGAAATACAATTTTGCTAAAACTAACACGGCAACAGTTCTTACAATTCCGAATATTGGAGTTAGGTATTCTCTACCTTTTCGATACTCTCCTCTACAAATTCGTGTGCTTACTTCTTCCAAAAATTTAATGCAAGCATACACAACACATACTTTACTTTCCACATATCCTACATAGCACATGGACAGACAATTCGCCACCACTGCTACCGTTTTATAATCCCATAGACTTTCATTTAATTCATCATCGTGGACAATTGCGAAGATCACGTAAAAATATATCAACAGTGTGAAGAAATGTGCAGGGGCACAACGTTTCAATGATTCTGACTGCGCATAGAAATAGTAGTTGGTAAACGCAATTGGAAGTAGCTGATTCATTGATTCTGTAATCGTATAAATAATTGGAACTTCTTTTACTTCCAGTTCATGTATATCATACTCATTCACTTCTTCAAGCATTGCACATAAACTCCGTATGATACCATGGATAATGCTGATCAGTGCTCCAATAAGCGCAAATGGGTTTTCAGTAAATTTTTGCAAATATAAGTATAGAACCTGTGAAATAACATAAGCTATTTCAAGTAAAAATCTATCTATTATCATCGTGAATTATTTTTGGTGGCGTTGAGATGATCCGTATGATATGATGTATGTGATGTGCATAAAATTGCCGGAAAGTACTTAATTTAAATTTTTTTTTATAAAATATAAAGCTAATCAAAAACTTTTTCCAAAATAAATTTTGAAGCTTCCAAATATTTAAATTAATGATTTCATTTTTTCTGATTGTAGCCAAAAATTGTGGTTCGATTTTTGTCTACGAAATGTTAAACCTAAAAATTTATGAGTAGTTTTCAAAAAATTTCTTCTTATTATAATTTTATATTTTTGAAATTTAAAAATCCAAGCCAACTATTCTTATGTCTAAAAAAAAATATGTCAAAAATTAAAACAATGCTTACGCTACACACTTCTATAAAAGAGCTGAAGATATATTATATTTAAAGATATCTAATAAATGTGAGAGACTCCAGATACTTAAAAACATAGACAGAACCATGAATAGGAAGAGGGTGGTGACAACATCAGCAACAGCTACCTGCAACTACTTTTATGTATATTGTATAGTAATTAATTTATTGTTAATTATTTAAAACTGAATGTATAAACAGATCCCAGTATATATAACCGCTTTAAATGTTTCCAAAAGCAGTTGTAATAATATTATAATATTATAAAAATAAAAATTAAAACTAATTGACCATTTTTTATTCTTACCCACATAATTTTTTTTAAAATAAAAAAAATATTTAAAAAAATAAACTCGCAATTATTCTAGAGATAAAATTGCCTTAAATGTTCGTTCAGTTTCTTATTAGATCTTATTAGGATAACAGCTAAAGACGTCTACCACTGTTTCTACCTTCTACAATAATCATTGTTGAAAATTTCCAGTTTTTTTTATAGTCACTTACTGATTTCATAAATACGAGCTCTTTTGATAACCTTTGTATTTCCATTGATTTGCTCCCATCAAGTTTCAGCCTGAAAGTTAACCTACACGTCAACAAATGCTTTCGCTTAACCCGAACGGATTTTTTGAATGGAACTTTTCTTTAAAAATAATTTACTAATGGCGATAAGTATACCGACACAAATTCCACTACTTTGGTGAGGATGAAATAACCATTGTAAATTATAAAAATTCTTCTTTCAAAAAATTCTAAATATTCTTCATTTTTTGATCACATTTGATAAAAGTGATATTAATTACAATTCACATAATTAAAACTTAAAGACATCCTTGAAGACATATAAATACATATTGTTGACTTGCTTTTACAGTTTTTATAATGGAATTCCCCTGTGTTCAATTTTAAACACACTTTTATATTAATATTTTATATTTATTTTAACCACTTATTTTGCTTTTCAGCACAAGTTCATCTAAGACCTGCTTTTTTCCACGTGTAAAAGAGGTTTCTAGCCTTCTTTTCCAAAATCACTATTAATTGCTCTTGAAGTGTGCAGCGAAGGTCTATTTTATTAAATTCATTTATTTTTCATTAACTCCGTGTACATTTTAAATTGAATAGGGTTTTTTACGAAAAATTTTTGCACAACCGCAAACCACAGTTTCGTATATGTGTGAGAAAATATCTGTGTGCAGTAAAGAAAGGAAAGGGCCGAATGGAATGCGTTTCGTATGAAATATAGCCACTTAGGCCAATGAGTTGGTTTCCCTCACATGTGTTGTGCATGCCAAATAAAGTAACAGCAACTTTATCAGCATTTTCACAACAGCTTAAAGGGTTACACAAGAAGAAATTGAAACATTCCCTACCCATCAACTTCCTCACGAATCCTTCGTATCCTTCGTATTACCAATCGGAATGCCACTTGAAGTTTGATGTAGAAAAAATCCTACTATTCATAGATAGCCAGTCTTTTAAATAATTTTTATTCACATATTTATACATTTATGTCGGAGAATTTATGAATTTCTCTTTATATCTGAACGCTTGGTTCTATAAAGTGTCAGATAGGCTATTTCATAGCAAAGCAGCAGAACTAAGGGAGAAGGAGTGTGAATTTGCAAATTGCTTGAATGCCTATCAATTTATCAGTTTTAGTGAAAAGATTTTATAAATATCCTTTTCCCTCTGCTTGCGCTTTGTAACTTCACAGCAATTGGAAAGAAAAAAAGGATTTTGTTGCGTACACGTAGTGACCACTCGTCCTTCCGCTACGCTCTACAAGCTCTTATAACTTTAAGGGTACTACACTTTTTATTCTTTTTTGTTTTTGCTGTCCTTATTTAAGGATATTATGAAAACGTTTATTAATTCGAAATTGGAAATAATGTAGCGTAAATTGCGATGCAAACAATAAAAATACTAAAACGCTTTTTATGGACCTGTTATATATTGTGGTAATATTTCAAGACATTAAAGAAGACGTCACTTAGGAAACAAATAATTAATATAATACTAATAATACTATTGAGCTAAGGGATAATGCAATGCGAATAAAAAGATCTATTGTGCCAGATTAGTCGGATTAGAGTGTTTCTCTAAATCCAATTTCTTTAATAAAAGACAGTAAAAAGCCTATCCGTTTTAGTCTTGAATCCCTATGATCCATAAAATTCCCTCCTAAACTATTATTGTAAGTGCAATTTATTATAAGATAATATTTTGAGGTTTTTTATATTCAAAGTAATCATAATCTCCACACAAAATAGCATATCACGAATAGATAATTTAGTAAAAATATAAACTTAGGCAAAGCTTGATATAAGGTAGTAATCGAAGGAAGAAAATTACTTTTCTATTAATATTTGTCAATTCGTAGCAATATGAGACCTTTTCTTTTTTAAGCATATCACAAAAGAACAACCGCTTATTTTAGAAATTACATATGATAACAACAACACTTTTTGAAAACCGCTTAATAAATAAACAGTTCAAATCGCATGGTTGCCAAGATTAAAAACTCGTCTATTGTGAACGATTTTTGAAAGTAGATATAAGATTTCTAGTTAACTGTCAATAAATAATACCAATTCATTTTAATTTACTGAAATTAAAAAACTACACTTAAGTATTCAATAAACCTGAAAATACAAATTTTATTCACAATCATGTAAAAAATAAAATATTTTTACCTATAACTGCAAAGACATATTATTCCATTTTGAAACTTAAACTTTAAATTTTATTACTTATTTTGCACATGTAAGCCTAACAAAATGTCCAGTTCTTCCAGAGTAGCCATCAGAAGTAGTGCTTATACTATGTTGTTCTTTTGCGATATGCTAACAAAAGAAAAAAACAATTGTTAATAAATTTCCCTTATTAAACGAAAATTTTAAATGACACTAGTACACTCCGATCTGTCAGATATATTATGCTTTCCCCGGAGAGTCTCATAATCTTACCTGAATAATTTAATTCTTTTAATAAACCGAACAATATTACTCATCTAAAATCGAAAACCACATTAGCTGCAATGGAAATCGTATATATATATACTGGATTCGTTCCTTGGCATTTGCAGATTGCTAGTGGATAAGATAAGACTAGTAACAGTTAACAGGCGCAAATCTACGTAATAAGAAAGTAATTTATTACAACTCCATATCACATTCATTGCAAAAAAATCCAATCTAGTAGTATAGGACTTAAGTGGGTAGGTGGAAATAGCAGCCTTATTTTTCCAAAAATCTCACTTAAACTAAAATAATGTGCCATTGTGGTACTATAAGAATAGCATTGGTATGTACATAGATTGAAAGAGTACCGCACTTATTTCCTGGTAATCACAAAATATAATAATCTACACATTTTATGTTCTTTAGAACCGTCTTTAAAAAATAACAAATGACAGGTACATGTTCACTTCACAATTCCGCATTGAAATAAATGCAAATCTATTTAGTCTGAGAAACCCATCATAATTTGTACTGTTTATTGAAATGAGTTGGACAAACATTGAACTTGGATTACTCTAAGCCTTTGTAACTTAACCAGGTCTTCTTAAAGAATTTATATATTTATATGTATTAATATAGTGCAATAATGAAAACCCTACATAGAGGGTCGGATCTTATAAAAGAAATTAATGCATCGCTACTTGCAAGCTTATTAACTATTTCGTTAATGTTGAATCTAGACAAGTATTACATTATGCATTGTAGAAAATTAGGTGAAGAGATTTTGATATATGGAACCTTTCTGGCTTTTATAACATTTCTGTAGAATATTTCAAGGTATTCTGAAGTAAATATCTCATTAAAATGCACATTTGTCTACAGAATTGATATAATTAGATGACTAAATTTATACTAAATTCATGGGCGTTAGTGCCTCTGCGTCCGATTCCAAGTTTTGAACCGACGTGATTTTTTGGGTTCATAACTATACTTTAATCATTATTTTAAAATTATCAAAATAGATCAGTATGTATCCAATTTTATAGCATATCGTGTGAAAAACGATACTCTACAACAATGACTCTATTTTTTAAAGTATCATCTTAAAGTCGTACTAAAAACTTTTTACTCAATTCATTACACTAATTAAATTAAAAAGAGAATATTTTATAACATTGATTTTGAAAGTCGTAGAAAGTTTCATATATTTATTTCATATATATATACATATTTTATATATCATATATTTAATTATTTATTTAATGGAACTCAATAACACAACATTAAATTTCGGTTTGTCGCAGTACACCTCTGCAGACGCATCTATTTTGTAGGCGTCTTACCTAATTTCATATATCAATTTAGTTAGAGTTCCCAAACTGGATTGCTCCACCGGAGATGTTATCTTACCTGCTTATTTTATTTCTAAATGCTATTTCAAATACCATTTTTGCTGAAGAATCGTCTCTCATTCCCATGATAATATGAAGTGAGTGCCACGCCACTACTACTATATGGTTATTCGCTGAAAGCGACCATGTTTAGGCCACCACAACTCGTGGTTCATTAGGATGCGCTATACATCGTCAATTTACAGTGGACTGGAGATCTTACAAGTACGAACAATGCTATTTTATCATGAATGATATTGTCTATGCTTTTATTTTATACAAAATAATATAAGAATAAATAAAATGAGCGATTTTTAGAACGTAAGATTTGTCGGTCGGGAGAGAGCTCGCTATCCTTATATCATACTATTGAAACACCTTTTTGTAATTCATATTTTCCGTGTGGTCTCCAACCTGGCAACACTGTTAAAGCGTTGCTGTCAATGCTGTGTTTAAGCTCTTAAAACTCGTTGTTCATGTGCTATTCATCACCAACTTGCAG